AGAGGCCGCTTCGCAGGGAAAGTTACATAACGTGCCGGCAAAGCCTTCTGGGAAACGTAGTCCCGCCGGGGCCGGTTCTTAAAGGGGACGGTAGGAGGTAGAAGGTAAGGGGACTAGTCTGTTCCCTGCCCCGGAACCCTTACCACTCCTCGCAGAGGGCAGGGAGTTCGGCGCGCTTCGAGGAGCTCGGGCACAAGAGTTGGGGGCAAGGATGTAGTACGAATGGTCAGAGGTACCACGAGTTCAGAAATTGTAGGGAGCTGACTTGTTCCCGGGCGTCCAGCCTCTGCTCCGACTTGCTGTGCAGCTTTAAGCACAAGTCTAGCCCTCTCTGAGACTGTTCTCCGCCCAGCGAAGGTAAGCCAATAACCAGTTAAGAAGGTAGGAGCTCCTGGGGCGGGGCGGAGGGGCCCTGATTGGGTGGTTTCTGGGTAGGGGACGGGAAGTTAGCAATTTGGTGGTGGTGGGGAGGGTAAGTGAGGTTGTCTACTTGGCACTTTGTTTTTCCTAGAATCCTGAGTATCAGTCTCCGACCCGGGCAGGCATCAGCCAGGTAAAGAGAGGATTAAAGGCCTCTGCCTCAGTTGCTTCATCTGCTGGAGTGGTAAGTGCCCTCCAACTCTGTTCCAGCTCTGACGGCACGCTCTGGTCTCCAAAGGGTTACGATGTCAGTTTCTCCGCCCGCCCGCCCGCAACTTCACTACAATTCCCAAAATGCTGTGCGGGGCAGACAAGCTGACGCACTTCCGCTGTCTGGGAGGTCTGGGGAGGCCTTCCCGATCCCGGCTGCCTGTCCTGCGTCCGACACCCCCGCGTCAGTTTTGGGGGTCTTTTTCCCGTGTTCCCCGGGCATGGAGTTAAGGGGATCCCCACGTTCTACAGCTCTCTAGTTTGGAAGAAGGAAGCCAGACTTGGCAAGAATGGGGGTGGGGGTAGTTTCTGGAAAGAACTAGCGCCAGACATCTTTCTACAATCTTGAGAGCCTACTACCTCATAGGCCCAACCAGGCTTTGGGGACCTCCATGTGTTTTTTTCCTGGCGTCGGGAACAGTGCGAGGCAGGCTGGCGTGAGGGCTGGGGAGATAAGACAGGTCTCCAAGGTCTAACCTCCATTAGTCTCTTCCTAAGCCTGGATCCATGTTAAGAACGCAAAATATTTTAGTGTCTTGTAAGCGTTGCATTCATTAGTGTTTTTCAAACTAATCAGGGGCTGCCTACCTCTCTCCCTCATCCAGCTGCAAGCACAGCAGCTCTGATTTTATGTTACCCACCTATACCTTTTAAAAAATGGACTTCTTTGAAATAGGCTACTTTTGCTTCATGCTAAGCAATGTTTTGAGCACAGCACTGGACTGGATTGGCCCCTGATAAGCTTAAAGCAAGTTCCTAAACTCAGGAAAAGAATGGAGACCCCTAGATTCTGCTTTTCACTGGGTACCTTCCGGTTAAGATGCAAGCATGCAACATAAATGCTAAGCATGGTGCGTGGCCCAGAAGTGAAGTTTTTGTTTTTAAGCTGCCGGTTATTTCAGAGATTCAACTCCTCTTCAGCACTGGGCAATGCTGAAGACAGGAGTGACTGAGATAGGCTCAGGCCTTGCTCTGACAAGGCTCAGTCTGGTGAGGGAGGCAAACATTCAATTTAAATGTACTCAGATAATTAACTGCATTTTTTGGTAACTGCTGGGGGAAGGGATGTCAGGAAAGGATTTCCTGAGGAGGTGATATTTGAGCTGAGGGCTGAAAGATAAATAGAATCTAGTTGTAGGAAATAGACTCCTAAATCAGAAAGATGCCCATTTTTACAGATGAGGAAAATGGAGGCCTGTGGTTACACAGCTGCCAGGGCAACACCAGGGGTCGAGCCAGGTCTGCTTTGCTCCAGGCTCTGCAGCAGGTCTCAGAGTAAGACGAGCTCCTGCCTTCATGAACTATGGAGAAAACATGCCTTAAATAGATAAAGGCACTTATTCATTTGGGGACACTATGGAAAAGAACTATAGGACACGAGAGAGAACCATAAGTAGACCCATCCTAGCCTGGGGAGGGAATCCAGGATGCTTTCCTGGAGGAGGTGACATTTCGGTGGCATCTGAAGGATAAGTAGGTAGGAATAAGATTTGAACACTGACCTTGATGGCTTTAACAACAACAAAAAGGCTCAAGCCTCTAGCTTCAAGGGAGTGTCATCTGCCCATGGAGGGGTGGGGCAGGTGTAGGTGCTGGAATCCCAGGCCTGTCTCAGCCAGAGCCTTGAGTAATTGTATTAAAAATAAGTTTATTGATATCTTGTTGCCACTGAGAAGGAGGGGGTTGAGCTCTAGAGGTCAGAGACTGCAATGGGAGGCAGAAGACCCAACCTGTGCCCCCAGTGAGAACTCGCCCCCTCTCCCTAGGATACAGACTGCTGTATCCTCATTGTCATCCATGTTCTGATTTGTCTCGCAACCCCCACTCCCTCCAAAGTCTGGAATGGGGAAGTGGGGAGGCCCCCACAGCTCAATTCTCTTCAAGTCAAGACCAGGAGTGATTAGGGAAGGGGGTATGTGCAGACCCGCGAGGTTCCCTCTGCAGCCCACAAAGGGCAATAATAAATAACATAAAAGTGATGGCTTAGAAGTCAGGGTTAAGGAAAGCAGCCAGGCAGACAGCGCTGTACTGGAGAAAGGGCTGGGGGGGGTCCATCAATGAGGCCCCCGTGAATCAGGCACTAACTAGTACAGGGAGGTGGGGTGCTCGCGCCCCTGCAGCCGGGAGCCAGAGTGCAGCTGGCATGGGGAAGGTGCATGGCCCTCCTCCCTGGGCTAAGCTGGGAGAGGAGTTGCAGGCAGAAAGAGCGTAGACAAGCTGGAACCCAATGATAGATTTCATGGAGATTTCCATCGCCCCCGCCTCTTCCGTGTAGGAAAACCTTTCCTCCTCTTGTGTGGGGGGGAGTCATGGGAAGAAAGTGGG